GATATCGTGCGTTTTTCTGCCTCAGGTGAACTACACACAGCCGCTGGTTGCGGTTAAGTTCCTGAACGCAACACGGAACGCGGACATCAACGTGGAGTGTAAAATTAACTCCAACACACTCAGTGACGGCAGCGAGAGAGACAAGTTTGCCGGGCGAGTGTCCTTCAAGCTACGGATCAACACCTAATAGACACACACAGACAGGCAAACAAACACAGACAGACACACAGACACAGACACAGACACACACACACACACACACAAACAAACAGGGGTTAAAGCTGCTCTCATCAGTCCCTCCAGGATTCATGGACCTTTTGTGATTGTTGCGGTGAAAAAGTTAGAGATATTTTCAAGTTGGAAAGAAGAAAAAAATTGTAAAACGTGATACCTAAAATCACTAACATAGCAAAAGCACAAAGTTTACTTTAACGTCAATGATTGAAAACAATCCTAATTCACTCCCATCTCTGATTACAAACTTTATCACTAAAGCGTCACTGTCGAAAAATCGACCCAATCTTCACATACCTGAGAGAGAAAACACCCTTATTTTCATAGTTTCTCTAATTCACTTTTTTAATTCTTACAGGCCTAACTTGTGTGTAGCGCACAGTGCGTAACCCAATATGTTTACACCGTGGGATGTAATGTAGAGAATCGAGTCAGACACAGAGGCTGAAGTTGTGGCTCAGACCGTGCCGTTTGTCACAAACACTCATCAACTCTGCTGCCGGCCATTCTAACATCGTCACAGTATACACTCGATCATAATCGACCGTATGAGAAATACCTGGTATAAGCAGATGACATGTTCACTGGAGCTAAATATCAATTAACAGTCGCTTGGGGCAGTCTCACAGATAAAACACCTTCTCAAACTTGTACCAGAGGCAGCACGACAACAGCTCTGCAAACACATGAACCGACATCTACAGTTTAACTGGGCTTGAATGAAAATAGTTAAAATATACCAACAAACAAGGATGACAAAAACCGTCTGCAGCGTTTACCGTCCGCACACACTCACCGTAAACACTAACCAACATGGCGCCCGCATGGCTCCAAACCTGACTGACGGGGTGCTGTAAGGGACACGCGGCAGCAATCGCGTAATTCTAAAAGGCAACCGTGACACCCTGTGGCCTTTTAGCTAACTACCTTACATATACAAGTCCGTTTCAAACACTGCCAACAAACTCCACCACGTGCCTTCAAATCTTAGATGTTAAGCAATACATCCACTAGAGGGCAGTGCTGTATTAAAAGTTAAATATCGAGCTGACGTGAGTTTCTCAGGCGTTAACAAACCGTGGCGTGCACAGATATTTGGAGCCAGGTGCACAGTGAAAACTAAGGACACCTTGTGTGGAACCACCAGCTACATTATTATAGTCAAAGTCAACTTTAATGTCAAATATGCCATACACACAGGACATATGGCACAATGAAATTGCAGTCCTCTCAGATCCACAGTGCAAAATGGCAAGAATATAATAAAGGAAATCACAGTGTTTAAAAAACATTACAGGGATATGAATGTTATTTCACATTTATTTATTTTAACATTAAAAATCTGAGCTTTAAAAGGCCCTAAACAGTTAACCTGCCTCTGGTCTTGACTCTGATCTTTCTTCTTCTTTGGTGGGTTGAGGAGGTACTCCTCCCTGGGCTGCTGCCTGCTGTAGCTGCCTGTCTTTAGCTTTTCTCAGCCTTTCCTCTCTACGCATTATGCTGCAATTGGTCAATGAAAAGACCAGCAGGGTGAATAAGACTGCTTGGTGACATTATGGCAAGGCAGGCAGCTTCTGTTGTTCTACAAATAAATGACTGTAGGTGTTAATTATTTGGCATAATGTAAACCTACACAAAACTAAGTATTCAGCTGTGGTATACTGACATAGGTGAGAGAGTGTCTGCAGACTCTGACCTGTTCAGCCAACAGCCGTAAGGAGCAGGAAAGGCTAGCACAGTCAACGTACAGTACACCTCAGTATCTTAGTATCAGTATGTGTTCATACTGTAGGCAAAGCTCTGGGTCAGGTGTGAGGAATGGCCAACGTATCTTGTCAGCTCTAGGGGGCACTCTCAGTCAAAAACAGATAGTAACATCAGTTAAAGCTGCAGAGTTTTGTCCAACATTTCAAGACTGCCATTCATTTACTGCGACAGGTTGAACTTGCGATATCACAACACTGCGAATTTCTGGAGGGACTGAACTCCTCATCTCCATTCCAGCACCGTGATGCGTTCACTGACACTCTCCTCCTTCTTGAGCTTTTTTACTGTAATGCTGTGACGTCATCCTCTGTCTCAGTGCAGCTTTAACCTGATACAAAGCAAACCCTACGGTCAACCAATCAGCACGCACACCCACTCTGATGTCACTGCCACTGGACTGAGGAATGACAGAAGATATGCATGGTTTGGACAAAAATATATAAATATACAATATGTACAATTATCAAGTACATCGTTGTTTACTGATTTATTGAATCATTCAATTGTTTTGATTAATTTATCCTGATCTTTCCTTCACCAAGTTTTAATCAATGTCAATGTCCATGACCAGAAAGATTTGTTCTGATTGGCTGATCTGAAGTCAACTGACCTGTGTTGACTTAAAACCCTGTTAGTCCATGTCATTCTACAGACTGCACCTGGAAACCATTTTAAACCACTTCAGTCTCTAAGACTCTACAGACCACATCGAACCTTTTCAGTTTACAGACCACAAGAAGAACTTGTGACTTTACAGACCACATTAATTCACTTCTGCACTCCATATCAGACCACTTCTGTCTACAGACCACACAAGACTTGGACTGATGAAAGTGATTCTGACTACAGATGACATTAGAGCTACATCAAAACAGTTCAGAATCTATAGACCACTTTGAACCAGCTCTGACTGAAAGACCTCATTAGTCGGTGAACTCATTAGTGGTCTACAGACCACGTAAGACCAGAAAACAGCCTGGAAATCTGTTCAAACCATTTCAGTCTACAGACTACATGATAGCAGTAATACGTTTACAGACCACACTGAACCACTTTACAGTCTGCTGATCATATCATGTATTGGTTTACTTCGGTCTACAGACTGCATCAGTCTACACCAGAGCAGTTCAGCGTCTGTAGACCACAGTAAACCAAATGAATTATCAAACTAGAGATAGTTTTGTTCCATCTGTGAGCTGATTGGCTCATGTGTTTGCTTATGTTGTTGTGTACTGTATTTGTTTTTGTTGTTTTAACCAATGACTGAACTTCTCCATAAAGTGTCTTCCTTTGAAGAGGGGCCAGCCAATCACAGCGTCCTGCTCTGTGATGTCACATATTTGTAAGCGGTCGGGTGATTTCTGTTCCCTGAATTTGTCCTTGTGTTTCTTAGAAATAAAACTAAGTGAAACAAAATGCCCCAAAGTTTCTGTTGTTATGTGGAATGTTTATAAACCTTGTTATTTTAACAAATATTTATTTATTTATTCAACCTTTATTTTAACTGGTAAGTTTAATGTTAAGAACTAAAAAAACGCCTATAAACCTTTGGCATTCAAATGTTTTTACAATAAATAAAACAATCACACATATAGAAACACATAATACTAAAGAAATGACGAAATAAATAAATGAATAAATAATTCTTTATGACAAAATATGTCATAAACAATTAAAGAAAGCCTGATGGTCAGTGAGGTAGCCTGCCTTCTTTGGCCTGGTTAGGGCAATTGGTACCTTCCAGTGGACTCACCACCCGCAGGAAGGTTTATGGGGGTTGGTACGGTGCAGTGTGATTTGGGTGGCGACTGCTGCCCCCGCGACCCGGTAACGGAAAATGGATGGATGGATGGACTTCTATAATTCACCACAAAAGGGCGTACACTAAAACGGGTGTTCAATCAACTCAACTCAGCTGTTGTTTGGAGTAAAATTAATGTTAAACTTTCCAAAAATAGTTACATCAAGGGCAACTGGACAAAGGAGGTTTCTTTGGTTGTTTTTTTTTTTGAAGACGTTTCACTTCTCATCCTTCTTCAGAACTGAAGTCCAGTTGCCCTCAGTGTAACTGTTTTTGTATTAAATGACCTGGATGACTGAGAACCTACACAGACAAACATTAAACTTTATTTTAATATAATCAACGACAAACACATTTTTTCTCTGGGTTTTATTGTGATTAGAAAATGTCCAAACTCATCAATCTGATCAATCACATGACTTAAAGCTAAAAAACGCCCTCTGAACTGGATCAACACTGACTTAGCATCGATTTGTGGCCACGCATTTAAAACATCCTCAGAGTGAAGCAGCAGCAGAATATAAAGGTCTTTACACAGGAAGGCTGATACACCAGGGTCAAGGTCAAACCAGGTCCAGGTCCATCTATAGCTATGGATAAGGCACCAATAGCAGACCTGGACTAGGTATGAACCAGCTGGGTATCAGAGAATCAGGTAATTCTGACAGTCCAGCAGGAGGCAGTCTAGAGTAAAAACAGGGAGCATTGATGAAGCAGCAGCTGGGTAACAACCAGGACCAGGACTAGGTCCACATGGGGAATCAGGACCAGGCTTAGCTTTGGGGAACTGGGATGAGTCCTTGGGATGAAGAGAAGAAAAGGAACAAAGTCAAGACCAGAGCAAACCAGTTCAAACTAAATCAAATGAAACCAGAACCAGGTCCAGTCACAGGTCTCTAGTGTTCGCACTGACTTTTGACTTTGTCTCTCACACTGGTTCTTTTCTAGTTAGCGTTGCTGTAAATGACCTGTAATATTGTTGTGGATGTGTTCGTCAGTATCTGGCTGATAAGTTTTTTTTCTTTTCATGTGTTCATGAAAACTGTGGGAGGTTTTCCAGCTTCTAAAGTTTGTGTTAGTTTGTTTTAGTTATTAAAGATGCTGAACTGGCTCACCCTATCAGTGATAAAGATGACAATTCAGTGTTTACGATTATAAAAACATAACATGTTTGTGTTTGTTATAATTAAAATATAATAATGTCTAAGGACAGTAAATAATTTCATCTCCTTGTTGATGTGTGTGTTTCTTTTCCTTTTTCATAGCTCTTACAGTGTCTTCAAAGTGTCTGGGAGTTTTGAAAATAAACACTGAGGACCATCAGTTGAGGAGTTGGACTATCATTTAGCAGGGATGCTACAGTTACCTCGAACCTTCCTCCGATAGTAGATGAATCCAGCCAGAGACAAGATCAGACCCAGGATCAGTCCTGACGCTCCGATGGCGATCTTGTTTCTCTCTGACTCAGGCATCGATGGATCTGAGGACAGACGGCAGGAGGACAGGTGAGTAGACAGACAGACAGGTGTAGAGACATGCAGAGACAGACAGCTACATACCCCAGTCAGTAACCAGAGGTTTGCTCAGACTGGCGTGCTCCACCACACAGGAGATCTTCTCTCCAGACCTGTATCAGTTCAAAACAAAGAGAAGCATCAACATCAGCCAACTGGACCAAAAAGACCAAAGTGGACCAGGAGCAGCTGGACATGAATGCCTGGCTGCTGTTACCCTGACCTGGGTGTGTACTCCAGGTGAGAGTGGATCTGGTAGAACCAGTCACCATCAGCCAGCTCATCAGTGGAGGTCACATCAGTGCTGACCTCCTGTCCATCTCTCCTCCAGCTCACTGAGATCTGTTTGGGGTAGAAGTCGTAGACACTGCACACCAACATGGAAGGATGTTTGCCAGCAGGGGGCGTCTCAGAGTGGAGCCTGACGTAGGGTTCGGCTGGAAACAGAGTTCATTAGTTTTTCCTTTTGTAGCGACAGACAGTGGGTTTTTGTCTGTGTTATTTATTTACACACACATCTATATGAACCGTGATCTGAGTTCATCTCTGACCAGTTTGATTTGTTTTAAAAAACACAACAAGTTTAAAAAAAATCGAATTAAAAATAATTTGGAGACACTTCAGCTGTAGTAGCAGTGTTTGAACAGCAGGCGGCACCATTGGCTTATGACCCCAAAAGGCATGGCAGTCTACAGACCAACTTTCAATCGTATTATTATGGATTAAAATACTACTATTAAAAACAACAATAATAATAAACAGTGTCTCTGCAGTACAGTGACTCCAGTTTGTTGATGGACTGATGATGATAATGATGATGATGTCACACAAACACTCACCTGATTTAGCCAAACCAGTCCTGTAGTCCAGTCCGACGTTGTGTACACAGTACCTCTCCTTCTCATTCCTACTTTGGATTACTTCTGGACCTTCATTCCATCTCTTAGCGTTGGACACTCCATACTCAGTGTATCCCACAAATTTCCCCACTCTGCTGTCGAACCTGACATATTCCCTCTTGTTGTAATAGTGGGAGTAAATGTACTGGATATCGTCCGGTTTAGTGGAATTAAACACGCATCTGTCCACTGCATATTCCTCAAATCCCTCTGTAGAACAGAGAACATAATAAATATTGTATGTGATGTCAGTAGGCCTTGGTCAGTGTGTGTGTGTGTGTTCATCTTACCAGCTGTGTGGACCGTGAGGAGGAAGAGAAGAGAGAAGCTGACGATCAGTGAAGCCATGTTCCTGTTCACTTGACACTGACACGGTTTGACCGAGTGCTGCTTTTAAAACCAAAACCAGTTATTTGTCACGTGACCTGTACAGTCACCAGTTGCTAGGTAGTCCAAATATTGAACTGACAAAAAAAAAGTTCATGTGCAAGGTAATAATAAATGAATAATAAAATCATAAAGCTCAATATTTCTTTATCAGAATGTCTATATTTGGCTTGAACAGCAGACCACAGGGAACTGGTCTGAGCCTCGAGGGCTTGACCAGCCTCTGCCTGAGTCCAGTACAGGACGATTCTGTAAATGGATCAAGGTTCTACTCTAAAGAATGGTAAATAAATATTCTGATTGGACCTCAGTCACTCTCTGATTCTACTTCCTGTTCCTTCCTCCACTGGTGCTGCAGTATTTTATGTGAAGCCATTTAACAGACTACCACACACTCACTGAATGACAGTGGTCTAATCTAGAGATAACAAAGACATGGACCAGTGTTTAATCGAATTATTCTTTTCTATTGTTTGTTTTTTACTGTTACATTAGTTGTAAATCCTGGTCAAGTACTTTTTTATTGTCAATCCATTTGTGTCTGTTCAGTCCAAATTCACTGAACAATTTTGTCTCACTGGACTTAAAATTAGAATTCAAATAATGAAGAAAAAAGATGTCAATGTTACTGACAGAATAAGTAGAATAAGTGTTACAAATATTATTGAAAACCAAAATAAATCACACACTGAGTAGCATTTCATGGACAGTGGGGTGAAACCTGTGGAGGCCCGGCTAGTGTCAGACCAGCCTGACTGAGGTCAGAACAGTCAGTAAGTCCACGACTACCACCATTGTCAAATGGATTGGTTCTGACTGAAGAAGGACTTGACTGAAGTTTAGAAAGAAGCTGTGTTCTCACGTTCTATAAGACACTGTCAGTGATGAAGATGGACAGTAATGACTGAACCACACCAACTCTATTAATATTCCCATCATTTGGATCAGTCACAAATTCTATTTTGACACTGCTTCTCTCAGAGATTAAACACTGTGTCCACAATTACTATGTAAGTCTTTGACCTGTCATCATTTTATACATATTTCATATTACATATTTTGAAATTTCAATATTCATATCTATATTGCAATATATTGGGTTGTAATAACAGAACTATCTAACATTTGGTTGCAAAATGTCAACAGGGTGAAAAGAACTGTGTTGAGAACAGGAAAAAAAGGAAATTATGGCCAAAGGTTTAAAATAAAAATGAAACGTGAAACTACTAGGAACCTAGGAATTATCCTGCAGTACTGACATGTTCTAGAGCTGTAACCCACCTGGAGAACCCACAAGTACCAGGTGTCAGTTCTCTCAGACATGGCCAGAGTAAACCAGCAGTCCCTGGAGACTTTTGTTAAACCGGAGATTTTACCTGGAGGACAACAGTACTTTTCTCTGACCTGTGTCTGAGAGGCTGTGGTTGGTGAGGTGGAAAAATATTAGTTTTTTATACAGTTGCCTAATAACTGTACAAACTGAGATATTCGCTTAACAATAGACACAACCTGACCTTTAGACCCTTGACCCTTGTGTAATGTTCATATTGTTGTTACTCAGCCAGCGTTTGTGGGTCTGATGGACCCGTTGCATTTTGTGGCTTTTGATGCCTCCCAATCAACACTTTTATGTTAAAATACTGAACAGATGTTTACCTTATCCTAATAACAAGCAGTATAAACAATATATATGGTTAATATTTGCCCTTTACCTTTGTTAGGTCACATTTATATGTTATAGGTATGTTCTGTGTACCTACACTCTGTCCTCCTCCTGTCTAGGCCTGCTGTGTTTGTGTGTGTGTGTGTGTAGGTGTGTAGGTGTGTAGGTGTGTGTGTGAGTGTGTGAGTGTGTGTGTGCGTGTGAGGGTGCATGTGCGCGTGTGTGTGTCGTACACAGAACATCAATTTCCACACTTCTATTAGCCCCAGGTACAGTGGACCCGGACATCTTATATGTAATAGAAATGTGTGGGGGGGTGTATGGTGTGTGGTCATTAAATATGTATTCTGATATATTTTCTTCACAGAAAATGAGCCAAAGCCAGTGAGTCTCAGTTTGAAAAATTAAATAATTATATCATTTTTCTTTTATTAAAAAGTGAAAACGGGTCCCACAGACCCGAACACCACACAAGGGTTAAATATACTGTTTTGAGTTTTATTAACATTTTGGATTTAATGAGAGCTCTGTAGTTGTTTAAAAGTCAAATGAATTCATAAACTCATATTTCCTAATAACTGTGTGTATATTTTGACTTTTATTTTGAGGAGAGGTTTGACTACAGCAGTTTGAATCCTCTCACTTCCTAACCAGTTTGAAAAGTTTAATGAGGATCTTTAAACAGACTACAGTAGAACTTGGGTCAAATTATTGAACAAATAAGATTCATATCATATGTCAGCGCTGCCTGATGTAAAACCTTGTCAGGGGAACGTTTCCAAATAACCAAAAAAAAGGAAATAACAGCTGTGACATATACAGTGTTTATTAATAATAATTATATCACTGTCACAACCAATGGAAGACAGTCTGTCACCATGGCAATAAAACCAGAGCTGACAAAAAATACAACAGAAAAAGAAAGATAAGACTGATTGGACAATCATTTCAGAAACAAGAGTGACATCATCGGCCAGGGCCAATCATCTGCACTCATTTCCTTTGATGAGGAAGAAGGTTCCGGCAGCCACACCAAAGAGACCAAGAGTCAGACCAACAGCACAAAACACAGCCGGTCCAACACTGGGCTGCTCCACTTCCACCTCTGGAGGAGAAGGAAACAAACAAAGGTCACTTCCTGCCCACCCTCAAACCTACAGAGAATGTGGAATACGTGTCATGTGACCCTTCTCACCCCACATCTGGGTCAGTGGTTCATGCAGAGCTGGATGTTGAACTGAACAGCTGTAGATGTCTCCAGGTTGTGGGACAAATTCCAGTCTGGACGTCTGTCTGAAGGAAGAGTCATCGTTTGGATAGGGAACGTTGATACTGACTCCTTCAGTCACATTCTGGTTGTTCTTGGTCCACATGACTTTGACAGGAGCAGGAAAGAAACCGGTCACGTGACAGATGAGTGTGTTCTCTGCCCCAGTCTCCACCACGTCTCTGGAGTAGATCATGGGAGTGGAGGGAGGATCTGTGGAGGAAGAAGAGTTTTGCTGGAGGATCTGTGGAGGAAGAAGAGTTTTTACAGAACTTCAATTCATTTACCTTTAAATTCCTTGGTAACCAACTGAGTGATGGGCTGTGATCAGAGTTAAGACAGAATCACACGGTTTTTAAAGTGGTTTTGAAGCACTCTACCTTTTTCCTTTGGGATGTCCTTCATTCCACTACGGCTGTTTTTCAGGTTGGATCTACAGATCTGTTGATCAGCCTCAGCCCCTGTATAAGTTCCTTCTTCATAAATAAAGTGATCAATGAAACTGGGCTGAGGATCCACTCCTCTCTTGTTGACAAAGTCAGCGTACCACATCTCTTCACCATCCAGATTGTATGCCACTTCTCCATCAGTGTCAGAACAGCCATTGATGGCAAGGTCCACATGAAGACCTGAGGAGAGAAGATCTGGTGACTGACTGACTGACTGACTGACTGACTAACTGACTGTCTTACTGACTGACTGACAGACTGACTGACTGACTGACTGTCTGTCTGACTGACTGACTGACTGATTTACTGACTGACTGACTGAATGTCTGATTGACTGACTGATTTACTGACTGTCTGACTGACTGTCTGAATGACTGACTGTCTGACTGACTGTCTAACTGACTGACAGACTGTCTGACTGACTGACTGTCTGACTGACTGACTGTCTGACTGATTGTCTGACTGTCTGACTGACTGACTGACTGACTGTCTGTCTGTCTGACTGATTGACTGACTGATTAACTGACTGTCTGACTGACTGTCTGACTGAGTGACTGTCTGACTGATTGTCTAACTGACAGACTCTCTGAATGACTGACTGTCTGACTGACTGTCTGTATTACTTACTTACTGTCTGACAGACTGACTGACTGTCTGTCTGACTGACTGACTGACTGTCTGACTGACTGACTGACTGTCTGTCTGACTGATTGACAGACTGAATGACTGACTGACTGACTGACTGACTCTGACTGTCTGACTGACTGACTGACTGACTGACAGTCTGTACTTGGAAAGACTCTGTTCTCCCACTGACCCTGTCTGTAGTTCTGAGAGACAGACTGACATCAGATGTCTTACCTCCAGCTGAGACACCGAGGACACAGGTGAGGACGAGGACAGACACCGTCACCGCCGTCATGCTGCTGCTGCTGTCTGTGTCCGTGAACACACTGTGATTCTGTCAGGAGGAAGTGGTCTGTCTGAGCTCACTGACTCTGACTGACTGAACCAACAGCAGCAGCAGCAGCTGAGGTGGACCGTCCCAGCAGCCAATAACAATTCAGGGACTCCATTGTGTCAGGTGTATCCGGGTAAAGTCTGACCGACTTTGTTCACAGTAACTTTCACAGTTGACACTTTGTCAGACTTGAGTTGAACTTTCAGACAAAGAATAAAAGAATATTCAGTCAACAAAAACAAACACTTTTTATTGGTTATTTATTTCACATTTTGCTGAGAAAACAAAGGATTTTTAAAATTATGATTCAACATAAACTTTGTTTTCACTTCAACTTTATTCTTGTTTCAGTTTCTTTAACTTTAATATTGAATCAGTCACTTTTTAAACCTTCAACGTTTAAAACATTTTCTTCTTTTTCTTAAAAAACAACTGACAGGATTTTGTAGTAAAGTTTTATTTTTATTCTTTTATGGTTGTATAGATATGAACAGCCTGATAACCTTTATATGACAGTGTTGATGAAGCCTGGAACAAAACATCGACTTATCAAACTCTTTTCTCTCAGGACGTATCTACACGTTCCTGTTGTTGATCTGTAAACGTCTACTGTGATCAACCTGAATCAGAACAGGAAATACATTCATGTCTCTCATTTCTTTTCCCTCTTCCAGTGCTGAGGGTGAAGTAGGTTCTGACGTCAACGTCTGAAACTCCAACCAACACCAGAAGTTTTTCCTGAACTCAATCAAACCCACTTTATTTCTTTGAGTCACTTTTTTCCTGGGACATCGTCGCACGCACAGAAGTGTAGAAGGAAAGAAGCTACCTCCAACCTCAAGTGGACCACTGAGCCACCTGACTGCACTGACCCTTGACCCTTTACTCATACAGTATCTGTACAGATGACCTGTGTACAGCAGGGGTCACCAACTATATTTGGTCAGTCTGACAGGATGTAGATAGAGCTGAAAATGTTGGGCATCACTGAGAGTTATTTCACTCTCTGTTGTTTTGTTTTTCAGTTGCTTTAGAAATGATAATAATAATAATAACTTTATTTATATAGCGTCATACATTTCGTACAGTCATGGAACTCAAAGTGCTTTAACAGTTTGACACAAACAAACAATTTTTTTTGTTTGTTTTTTTGACATGCCAAGTGGTCAAGTCAATGTCCCCTGGAGTCAAAAGGGATGAAGAAAAACTCCCTTCCTCTTTGAACGATATCACAATTTAAAATTTTGGAATCCAGTCGTGGGCAGGATTGGATGGTTCACTGGGTCGATTTGGCCTCTGGGCAGCCAGTGGACGGTCACTGGTGTGAAACGTGAACTCATGAAACTCTAACCAATAATGACCTGTTAGTTTAATATTATTTTTATTTAAGAAATAATGACCTTTACGTGACCTTTGGTTTATGTTGAACCTGAGGATAAGAATGAATTCTTTGATGGAGATCAGGGGAAAAAAACACAACAATCACTGATTTCCTTCATCAACACATTCATTTATCTGACAGTTTGGCTGCAGTCTGACATTAGCTCAAATCAGACTCAAGAACAAATTTAACAGCACCTTAAAACTACAGAGTGATTTGCTGTACAGCTACAAACTGACAAATGAGTTTACAGCTGCAGAGTAAATGTAGTTGAACTTCTTCGCTTCTTTAAACTTCCACTGTGTTCTGTTGAACACAAACATCCAGGTTTGGTTCAACTCCCTTCTCAGCTCAGTACTGAACACATACTCTTTCATACAAACGTCTTGTTATTTCATTTGAATTCCATTGACAATTTACAGGCTGTTTCTGATTTTCACAGTAATAATGAACCAAGTGTGTCCTTTTACTAAATATGGGAGATCTTGGTCCATTCTGCTGTTAGCATCCATGCTAGCTGCTGCTGCATGTTCACTTAGCTCCAGTGATGCCAGACTTCTGTTCATTTGTGAGATAATGTGATCCTGTATATAATGTACGCTCAATAATTACAAAAACGTATACAGTACGATCATTTAACTCCTTCATGACACCACAAAGTTAATTAGCTCAGTAGGATACGGATCACAGTGGCAGGACGTCAACCATGCTAACCACAGCCTGTTTAAAAAACACGGTAAAAGGTGGTGGTGTAGACACCTGTTAGCACCTGTTAGCTGTTAGCAGCTCATATGCTAAGGGCTCTCAGGATCCTGTGCGTTCATCTGTGACTTTGTTAGCTGGAATTTGGTTGTTGGAACAATAACTGTAAAGACGGCTAATGAATAATGGAGCAGCTCTTCATTTCTGCTGCAGCAGTGAAGAGCAGCACATGTTGGTCTGACCTGTGGACTGATGCAGTAAAAACTCTGTCTGTCCTGCAGGGACCAGTCCCCTCTTTCTCTCTGCGGCCTCGTCAGGACCTGACCACGTAAACAGGCTGTGGTTTGGAGCTGGACAAATAAAAGTGATTCAACCTGGCGACACAGTTCAGACGCAGCGTCACAACGCAGCTCTTTTGTTCAGATAACACACTCAGACCTGTGGACTGATGCAGTAAAAACTCTGTCTGTCCTGCAGGGACCAGTCCCCTCTTTCTCTCTGCGGCCTCGTCAGGACCTGACCACGTAAACAGGCTGTGGTTTGGAGCTGGACAAATAAAAGTGATTCAACCTGGCGACACAGTTCAGACGCAGCGTCACAACGCAGCTCTTTTGTTCAGATAACACACTCATCAGCGTTTCATAACACACACACACACCACATAACGAGTCCGACCGCTTCATCATTTCACTTGTCTCTGCTGCTTGGCTGGAAAGTCCTTCTCTTTACTTTCACTTCAGCTTTGGCAGCCAATCAGAATGAGAGCTGCTCACTCGTCATCAATCTCCAGGAGCAGATGTTTGGGTTTGATCACGCAGCAGGCTAAAGTCTTAATAATAATAGTAAATGTAAGTCTGTGTCCACAGATGTCTCTGCCACACCAAACTCCATACAGAAAAGTAACAAATCAATATCAGGACACATCAATGTCCTTCATCCACCGCTTTGTCAATCAATAAGTTTAACTGTGATATTCAGTGACTTTGGTGACTGAAGTCCATCAGGTGGATCAACTCAGGGAGTCAAACCCACCAAACTGAACTGCAGTGGACCAGCAGCTCCTGGGTCAATGACAGATAAAATCAGTGTTTTTTTCTATGGACTCTGGTCTGGGAGAGTTCACAAACGTCCAAATCCTTTGACAAAAAGTAGTTCATCTGTGAGAATCAGTGAGGGCTGACAAATAACTCTGCAGGAAATTAAACTGTCATCTCTATCCAAAAAGTCGTCACAGCTGAAATACTGAAATACAACATATATGCAGTGAAAAACTTTGACATCACACGTCATCATGACCTGTCCACCGAGTCCCCAAACCATGGTGGCCTGTCAGGAAGGGCACCCGGTGAAAATCAAATCCTAAATTCCTACTGTGGTGGTGACAGCTGATGGACCGACACCCTTAAGGTCTTCCATCTGGGTCACATGACCCGTTCATTCAGCCTACATACATAGGGTTATAAAGGAAAAGGAGTGCTTGGTTCAGGTTGGCAAATGTAGACCACACAATGGTCCACACACCACGATTTAAGGGATTCTACAGCTGGTTACCAACTCACAGTGCCTCACTTAATGGTAATGGAAATTAGTCTGCAGCTTCTACCACAAGGGGGAGATGAGGTACCACATGCAGCCCCCGTACCCCTCCATTAATATAAAAATATGATCTGGATGATTAAACTCAGAACTTTAAAACACAAAAAAATAAATAAATAAACAATCAAACCTGAAATAAAACTAACATTTCTCCTGAATTCTGGCACAGATGTGGGACAGTCCACGTGGGCTACAACAGGCCCCAACAACCTGAAGGAAACATTTTAGCCACGTACTGTGGTCACGTTAGAGATATCTTAGTCAGTCCATCCAGCCCACAGATATTCAAAGTCACATGAGCAAATACTGCCTACTCTGATCAACCCTTTACAATCTACTACCACAGGATGAAGTTAGTCGGCCATCTTTGTTTTGCTGATCCAGTGTGAAAACAGCATTAATGGTTTTAAAGCTTTTAGGTAGCAACCAATCAGTGCTGCTGATGTCAGGGTGCACAGTTCTTCTGTGTGTGTGTGTGTGTGTGTGTGTTCCATGACCACTGTAGTACACTACACCGCTGATCCACAGGTGTTACCACAGGAAAAGACGACACAGATGTCAAAGATTACAGGACTTAACTTGAGTTTAAGGAGAAACTCTTTGTTGTGCATTTATTATTTACAGTGTAAATGAGCTCAGCATTGACCACAGGGTTGACTGGAATCAGCCTGTGCTTGGACAACAGGGAAGAGTGGACGTGTTCTAACATAATTTCAGTATTAAAGCTCAAATGTCCATGACCAAAGGGTTTCTGTTTTCTTTCAGTGGCGGGGCTCATCTGTCAGCCTCTGACTGCACAAACAACTCAACCTCTTCTACCTGAAAATGCTGCTTCCACTAGTTCCCTGTTTCATTTTCAAACAGTCAGGGCTGTGGCTCACTTATCCTGGAGTCACCTGAACGCAGCGTCGCTGGAAAGTCCCGACGCGTGGAAGAGTATTTTTTGGTTCCTCTTGGCTCGACAGCCAATCAGAAAAAAACACTGTAGCTGCGTCATCAGTCGTCAGTGGCAGAATATCGCTACTGAACCGCGGCAGAGAGACAGAATGAGAAGCAGGAGTTCAGGCGCCCCCTATCAGAAGTAATGTGTCATTACTGCAACCTCAACACCCAGAGTGTTGACCATAATATCACGTGGTTTCAGGGATGATTTCTTTACAGTCACATTGTTTTTTTGAGTTTTTATTAATGTTATAAATAGGGTTACAAAAAGAGAACAAAACAGTGTAAACCTTTTTTTTTTCCACAGGAGGGGGCACCCCTCTTTCCTGGCTGATCAGGTCCAGCAGGTTCTTTGTACTTCCTTAAATTTTCTGTAAAACGTAGAGGGAAATAAAAAAGTATGAATATTTTTCATTTATTTATTACAAAAATAATATGTACTGAAACACTGCAAATTAATGTAAATCAAAAATATAATAAAGTGCATTATGAAAATTATAAAACAATATTTTATATATAATGAAATGATAAATACATATATAGATATAAACATAAAGATAATATCACGTGGTTTCAGGGATGATTTCTTTACAGTCACATTGTTTTTTGATTTTTTTTTATTAATGTTATAAATAGGGTTACAAAAAGAGAAATTGAGCTATTAACAAAACAGTGTAATTTTTCTGTCCTGGCTGATCAGGTCCAGCAGGTTCTTTGTACTTCCTTAAATTTTCTGTAAACCGTAGAGGGAAATAAAAAAGTATGAATATTTTGATTTATTTATAACAAAAATAATGTGTACTGAAACTCTGCACATTTTTAAAATATAAAATATAATAATAAGTAAAATATGACAATTATAAAACAATATTTTATGTATATGAAAATTATAAATACATATATACATATAAACATAAAATTGCATACTTACTGTAAATACATATGATGTGTGATATGTTCCTAATCATATATATATATATATATATACACACACACACAAGCAAAATGTGGCACATTTTTTATTTTTTGAGTTTCCAATTCTGAGAAAACAAAAGTTAGAAATGTCACTTCTTTCTCTGAATTTATTTTTAAAATGTTTCTTGATTATTGACCTAGTCTCAGCTGTGAGAACAAATACATGCATCATATATTTAGACCTCTTCTTCTGACCTGATCGATCCATATTGATTTTAGAAGGTGGACTCAATACATGTAATCGACTGAGGAAGATGAGGTGATTGAAATTGTTTAAATCACACCATCATCACGACTCTTTATTTTCAGAGCTACATCTACACTGATTGTGACAAAAGAAACAAGACTAAACCTTTATTAAAGTAGAAAATAAAGAAATGTCTCCACCTGCTGGTTGGAGTCAGCCGTTGCCTGTCAGGTCAGCTCACTGTCAGCGTCCAGGTGCAGACAGGTGAGCTGAATGGGCGTAGTCATTCTGGTCATGAAGTCTCTGTCTCCACGGGTGAACCTTTTGACCTCTGGGACGAACACACACACACACACACACACACAGGTCGTCATCATAAAGAAAGTCTAATTTAATTTTTTGTCTCATTGTGTTTGTTACCCTCTAAGCTCTGATCCGTGTACTTCCTACAGGTGAGGGACAGGGGGCGACACACAGCATCCTTGCTACACACACACAACAGAAAGTGGACAACAGTGTCCTCAGTGTCGTCGTCACACACCTGATGGGACAATGACAGGTGAGGGAGAATGTCAGGTGACAGAAACATCTGCTGACAGGAAGAGCGACTGACCAGGCTCCGGCCCCGAGCATAGACTCTGACCTGACCTCTGACCCTCAGAGCTCGCTGAAGCCCCTCCCATTGATTTTCTGCCAATTGCAGAAGAGACCGAACCAGGACGCCTGAGAACCAGACATGAGCCTCACCTGTCCCGTCGTCAATCACCAACCTGATCAATACACACAGAACAGTCAACAAGTGATCTGTGATCAAAAGGTCATCAGTACAAAATCTATTGATCAATATGTGATCACAAGTATTAGAAACCCAGACTCCTGGATTAACTGATCAAAGCAAACATCAATAATCCAAAAATCCTGTTTTTAAGATACTAAACACACTCGATCACCAATCAATTTAAACCAATCGATCAATAATAATCTCCCATCTGAAAAACAAAAACAGTTCAATACTACATCAAGTGCTAATCAATACAAACAATCGTCTAGATATAATAATTAAACTAATCAATCAGCTACAAATGGACAACAATCAATACATTTATATTCCATGATATTACTGACAGATCAATAACATGATCATCTCAGATCAATACATGATCAATAACAGAACAGAGCGATTCTTACTTAGCTTTGGCCTGAAATACTGAGGAGGTCAAGCGACACTGAGAACTGCAGCAGGACTGGAGAGAGAGAGAGAGAGAGAGAGAGAATCAGTGTAGATCAGTCACTGATCAACGGTCAATAACAGTATTGATCAGTACCAACTCCATGAACCCACCTGCCTGTACAGGGATCCACAGAGTGAGCAGCTCCACCTCAGCTCGAGGAAGAGGACGCACACCACATGACCTTTGACCCGAGCCACAGGGACCTTCTGATCCCTACACAGAGCCCACGCACAGAGGTGCATCACAGGAGGGGGAGGAGCCAGAACTGATCTGATTGACAATTTGGAAAATGAAAATAAGATGAGAGGGAAAAAAAAGAGCTCAGATGAGTGAATTTGTTAGAAGGGTCTGACCTTTTATCACCCAGTGACATCACAGTTACTGAGCTGATGGCAGTGTGACGGCAGTACACAGAACCTGACCTGGAACACACACAAAAGGACAAGGACACGGGTGTGTGTGTGTGTGTTGATTTGATTGTGTGTATCTGCGTGTGTGTGAGTATGCCTGTAGGTGTGTGTTACCTTGACACTTTCCTCTGGAACATAGACAGCAGGAGTGTGTTGCCTGGTAAAAGTCCATGTGGGTAGGGGGTGTGGCTTAGACCCAGGTATACCTGCAGACTCCTCCCACTTTGGTCACACACAGTAAGACGCACACCTGAGGGTGACAACAGTGTATGTGAGTGTGTACTCAGTTGTGTGTGTACACCGTGAGACAGCTGTGGTTGGTCCATAGAGGGCGCTCAGACACTGCTCCCCCTGTGGCTGTGTGCAGAATTGTGTCCAAGTTTTGGAATATGAACCTGTTTGTTAGTTGTGTGTCTGTGTACCTGTGTTTGTGTATAGCTGTACACAGAAACGAGTGCAGACGTGTGTTTGTGTGTACCTGTGTTTGTGTGTCCACCATCAGACACCCTATTGGTCACACTAATCCTGTTACACACCAGGCCCTGAAAAGACACCAACTCAGTACTATACATACACACAAACACCCACGCACATGCATGCCCACACACGAATATCTCATTAGTCACTTTTTAATGTTTTATCAAAGCTGAGACCACAGGAGGGCGCCAGTGTCACCTGCAGTCCAGCACCTCGGAGACCGACAGGACCTTGGGTGAGAGAGCCTGAGGACATACAGAGAGAGACACTTGAGTTTTTACTACCATTATATGTATGTGAATGTGTGTGTGTGTGTGTGTTTTACCTGTCTGTAGGTGTGCAGCAGCAGTGGCTGTGTCAGTGTGTGAAACCTCCAATCAGATTTAACCTGGAGGGAGGAGTCAGCGTGCACCTCCACTCCACTCCGTCCAGAAACTCCACAGCCAATCAAAACACTGGGATTCTGTTGCGAGTTTGATGTCATTAGCGACACATCATCCAACCTTTGACTAAAAGTCTGCTTATAATGTTAGCTACAAGCTAGCTTATCCTCAACTACAGTACACACGATGGGAGCTGTAGGAGGGTTGACATGAGTAGAATTAACTACATGTGGTTTAACCTCTGACCTTTAACCAAGTCTAACATAACATATACTGTAGGTAAAAGTCGTAGCTACAACTAAGCTAACCTTTAGTAGCAGTGGAGTCAGTTGCTTAATTTATGAGTTTATATTGATCGATTATTGAATTTCTCTAACAAAGGTAGGTTTGGTTACCTTTAGCAACAAGTTAACTTAACTCGCAGAAGTGAGTTTACTTTTAGTAAGTAGTTGAGTTCATCCTTGGTGTCAGCTGTTAGAACCTCAGCCAACAAGAGAATTCACTTTTAGCACCAGGAGAGAAGCCTTGAAGCCACAGGTTAACCTCATCACTGTTAGCTGCACCTGAATCTGAACAATCAGTGTTCGTACCTTGTTGTTAGCTGCCACAAGTCTGTAGAAACACCCTGAGTGGAGGAGCGGGAACCACCTAGTGGACACACCTGAAAACACCAGGACCACCTGTACGTACGCATAAATAGACACACTTGTCACAGGTGCATGATGGGGAATAACTGCTCCTCAGACATTCCCCTCACCTTCTCCTCTCTCTCCTGCTCTGACTCGTTCTCCAGCATTGCTCTGTTCTTTGGATCCTGGTCCCAGCTGACCACTGGACCAATGACAGCCGCTCTAATGGTGAACTGTAAAACCAACCCCACTTCCTGTTCACTTGGCCCCTCTGTGGCAGGTCTTCGAGCCACACCCTCCTTCTGCTCCACCCTCAAAACCACAGAAACACATGTGCAACTTTTCCTTGTCCTCGTCCTGTGTTCCTCTTCTGTGGCTTTTCCTTTTCCTTTGCCCCCTCTGTGGCGGGTCTTGGAGCCACACCCTCCTTCTGCTCCACCCTCAAAACCACAGAAACACATGTGCAACTTTTCCTTGTCCTCGTCCTGTGTTCCTCTTCTGTGGCTTGCCCTTCAGCCACATTATCGACTGACTCCACCCTCCTCCTCTTCAGGTGAGTCACCATGGCACCTGAAGGACTCAGGACGTGGATGTGGTCAAGAGAAAACTGCAGGTAAACACTGTTCAACACGTGCACAGAGAGGTGGGCAGAGGTGTTTTAGTGACATCTAGTGGTGACATAACATATCATAGTTAATTTCACATCATTTTACACATTTCTAAAAGTGAATCAACTATGCATTTTTTTCAATTTTCACACAAAAAACATGGTTGTACATTCATTTAATTTAATGAGCAATTTTAATATATATCTATATATTTAAAATAAAATTTAAATATATAGAGTACCTGCAGCGTTTGTCTGTGATGAACTGCTCTTGGTCCAGATGTTGGTATGAAGGGAAATGTGACTGTAGAAATCTCTCTGTTACCATGGTAAAGTGGTGGACACACACCAGACAACCTGCACACAAACAGATCACTCAGGTTGTAGTCTGTGACCTTTGACCTCTCCCTGTGGCAGCGTGGCTCCGTACCTATCCAGGCTGTATTAAAAGCTGCCCTCTGACCTCCTTCAGCTTCCTCACTGGACTCTGTTAGTACACAGGCCACAGCTGCAGTACCATCCCTGAGCTGCAGGGTGTGTCTGTGTTTGGACGAGTGAGATGGAAGCTCTAACATGCCGACCAATAGCAGGGGCCGCTGTCTGCAGGAGTGTAAAGAGTTTCAGGGTTAAACGGGTTAACTAATTAATATGTAACAACATTTCATTTTGGTAGAGTTAGATACTAACATAACTCTTTAATGTGAGGCATGTTATAAATGTAAAGCCTATTATCACATCACCATAAACAACAATAAACATGGAAACGTTCAGCAATATTACAGCAGTGATAAACACGTCATTACAGTTTAATAATTATGTAACATAACATAATTATGTAACATTAACATGTAACATGTCGGACCTGAGAATAATAATTGTTTATTAGCTCTTACATAAATAATAAAGGTGAAATAACAGTTTTTTTAACCACTCAGCATTGATAAAAATATACTTAGATCATGATAAAATATGGGACACATAAAATTAGGACACATTAACTGTTTATCATCATGTAAAAGTTATAAAGATGTAATGACTGTTTTTAAATAGAGTAATACACATGCAAAGAACATTTATTATCATACAACAGGAATGTATACTGATGTTACAGTATATAACATGTATTGACTTATTATTAATTAATTTTTATTATCAAATATAATAGTAAGGAACATGACATTATTTTTTTTACAATCTAGTATTGCAGTAATAAATATGTAATGCTGTTTTTTATACAACCAGGTAATAAATGTTTACTATTAAATAATATAAGAGCATTAAATATCAAAAGTTTTTTTTTAATCATATATGACACTAAAAACACGTGGAAATTATTGAAGATCATGTAATTGGTAATAAACATGTCAAATGTGACTCGGCTGTTACAGTCAGGGGTGACTTTACCTGTGTGTTTGTTCTGTCTCACACTTGTCCTCAGAGTCTGAACTCTTGGTGCTGTACAACCAGGCCAGCCTGGCGTTGAGCTCAGGTTCCATCAAACCAGCTCCATCAGGTGGCAGTAGAGAGCTGAGACACACCGAAGACCAGCAGTGGGATTTCAGAGAGTGGACCAGTTCTGCGACACTGACGTACTGAAGGACAGCATGGTGGACTCTGTACTGTAGAAGACAGAGGACATTTTAATGTGGAGAGAGAGAGAGAGGACACATGGACATGAAGATGTGTGAGGTGTCTACCTGTGACAGAAAACAGCTGTGAGGCTGGTCCAACATTTCTGAGTAAATATCTCTATGTCCTTGTCCATGTCTTTGTCCCCATAGCAGGTCCATCAGCTTACATGACAACACACACACACACTGGTTTTTCACCATACTTGGGACAAGGCTGGAAGACAAAGAGGTAAGAGTTTGACACGTTAAACACGTGACGCATTAAATGATCAATATGGTGCATTTCATAATGACCATGACGCGTTCAAGGACCACCTCACCTGTGTGACAGCCGAGAGCTGAGGTGACATGCCCACAGGTACTCAGACACAGTCATGTTTTTCTCCAGCAGTAATCTAGGTAATACTTTGTCCCCCGGACACTTGGAGTCAGATGGAGTGCATCCCACTCTGCTGAAGCTGGTGACCCTGACACTGGAGCGCAAGCACGTGCAAAGCATGCTGGGAGGAAAATCCGGACAGGGTCGGTACAGGAAGTGGACGTTATGAAGCTGCAGGGACGAAAATGTTTTTCACAATAAAAGCAGGGTCTTGACCAGGTACATTCTAGTCATGTGACTGGTGACAACTCATGATGTCATACTGACTGGTCCAATCGCAGGCCTGTTCTCACCTCCACAATGTCCCCTGCTCTCAGTTTCCTCCTCAGACTTGGCAGATAGGCCAGACACAGACCCACAGTCCTGTCAATCACATACAGCCCCGCCCCCTCATTCACCACTTCAGTTACCATGCCCTGCCACATAGAAGAGGAGGGGCCAATTAAAACAGGTTAAACAAGGCACGAGCAGAGCTGGTCTTCATCTTTGTTCACCTGGTAATTGATGACTTTGGCCTTTTTTAATGGTGCTCCTGATTGGATGAGCTCTCTCTCAGGCTCCACCTCCTCAGGGTTGGGGTCACATTGAGTGGGCGTGTCCATCTGCAGCTCAGTGTGTGTGTGTGGTGGTGAGTAGTTTGTATGTATTTGGGACTTTTCAGTCACACACAGGATGTTTTTTCCTCTCCAGCTTCGCAGGTCACACACACGCAGTGACGTCACACACACACTCTGACCCACACCCACACACTGGGACCACCACAGCCTGGTTTCCTGCTCACAGAAAAAACACACACAGTGATCAACACATGTAAGTTGACAGGGTTTTTACATCAACTCTTAATAAGGCAACTGAGTGGAATGTGTGAACAGACCAGAAACCTCACAATTCATCTTTGATTTGTCTGTGAGGTTTTACTGTAAAACTATACAGATAATTACTTCAGGACTGATAAACTAATCCAATCACTGACTGATCATGAACTCAGAAACAAAGAAAATATCTGCACCTTGCAAGTAAAATTTTTACTTTTGTTGAAAATAATCAATGTATAGTATATACGTATATATATGATCAATGAAATATTTATATATAAATATTTATTTTCATTATATATAAATATATATGAAAACTGAAAGTCATCTGAAGTGATTCATATTCAAACATGACAAAATCTATCTATCACATTTCTAATCAGCTTTCTAAACTGATCAGAAAGTGATTAATACAGATCAGTTTGTTAATGTTGTCCCACCTTCACCAGGACAGGCTGAGCGTGTGTCTCCTCCGACAGTGTGAAACAGAAGAAAGTCGTTCCTCCTATGTCCAGCAGGGGGCTCACAGAAGACACCTGTCCCCAAAGTGACAGCCGCTGACCCTTCGCCCTGAGACAGACAAGTTGACAGACAAGGACACACCCACAGTCCAATGACATCAGAGGTCAGCTGACTCACCTGTTCTGCAGTAAGCCTGCAGCTTCTCTGACTCTTATAGGCCTTAGCTCTGCCTCCTCTTCAGCACTAACGACCGATCTCTGCTCAGGAAAGAGCAACACAGGAGATGCGACAACTTCCAAACAGCCGGGCGTTTCTTCCTGCCCTGAAGCATCAGGAGGGATGTAGTTCCAGTGAGGGAGGAAGACGATTCGACTGAGCCAATTAGGAGATGGAGACAGGAACTGAGGATGGAGGGAGACAGTTTTACTTCAGGCTGTTTGGACTCTGAACCCTTCACCTCGTCCCCACAGGTGTGTGCCCCTAGACTCACCTCACACCTGACACTCCCACTGCTGTCGGTCAGCCTCCACTCTCCGCCCCGCCCCTCTGTCAAGCAGCCAACCAACAACAGGTTTACTCGAGGCAGAGCCTTACTCCCGGGCATGGACAGCTCCGCCTCCTTGGCCCACGCTCTCTGTTCATTGGTGTTCCAATACAGACAACTGACACAGGCCAGTTGTTGATGGGAGACCAGCTCAGAGATGGAGACAAGTCTGGAGACACAGGAGAAGATGGAAGATTAGTCGAAGACAGACAGACTAATGAAGGACAAGCTGGGACAAATGAGAACACAGATGACAGACCAGTCACAGACAGACAGGGAGATTAAAAACACAGAAAAGACAGGCAATGGCACAGGTTAGATATGTTGGCCGATGAAGACAATAACATCAGACAGTGATCAGAGACATAGGAGACAAAGAAAGGTCAGTGACAGACAGAATATTGTCTGATCACAGACAGTCAGAGCGGTGAAAGTTCAAAAAGATCAGAGATTTGCCAGAAAAAGACATGCATGGACAAACAGCCAACTTTTACCCACATCCAGAAAAAGACATGCATGGACAAACAGAACGGCAGATGCCAACTTTTACCCACAATTCCCTACTGGATAAAGTCTGCAGCAGGGACACGAGTTGTGGACTGACACGGTTGGTTGTTCACATTGCGACAGATTGGACAGAGACAATAACAGACAGACAGGTTGTAGACATACCTATAGCTCACAGGTAAAGACTGTGAGACACAGGTGTCCTGCAGCGATTTCACCAAAGACACACTCAGAGACACAGACGCATCTGTAACACAACAAACTGTGACCTGACTCAGCTCATCATTGACCAACAACTGGAAGACGGCGGACTGACGCACCTGTTAGCGTATTGTTGTCAACCGAGCTGCCGGGAACACCGAGCAGCGGACACACTTGTCCTATGACAAAGTTGTGGACGTCTTTAAGCCAGGACGCCTCCTGCAGGGGGAATCGGTGTTGAACATTTCGTGAACGCAACACGCAAACGAAAGAAAATCCCACCAAATACTGCCACAACACATTGGTGACTTGCTTGACACTCACCGCGTCAGAAGAGGGTTTCATCTGATCCAAGAACAGCTCCTGCGCCTTCGCCGCCATGATAGCGCCAAGAAAACAAACCACCGTTAACTTCCGGCTCCGCTACGGTAACCTTTGAGGCTCAAAGTAACAAGAGAAAAATAGGGGTTTCCGCAGAATTAGAAGTGATAACGCAAAGTAAAAAAAAAAAAAAAGTGAAAATTACGACTATAACACAAATAGAATGTCAGAAAGTTTAAGATCAACTTTGTAGTCTTCAATTATCCAACGGGAATCTATGGTACAGGGGAGGAATAAATAATCCACATAATGTTAATTTGCTCTAGTTTTGTATAATTGGCCAAACATACAGTATCTAAAATACAAATACAATACATAGTTTATAAAATATTATACAGAGAGACACCAACCAGTAAGCAACAAATGTAGTTAAAAGTTAACTAGTTAAATATTAACAGCACATAAGTTCATTAAGCAAAAACACATACAAGGTAAAAATGTAAATGAAAGTTTATCTAGTAAACACAAAAAGCACAAACAGATTAAAATACTCCACAGAAAATAAAGCATTAAAATGGTTGAATATGCAACATTTCTAATACAACAAAGTTAACCATATAATTAAACTAATTACATCAACAATGGGACAGAAAAATGTGTCCATAGTACAGCCAATGGCTGGCCTGTAAGGACTACATAAAGAAGGAATTATCTCATTATTGGTCAGTATAAATATACAAGCACAAAGATAATTGTTCTCTGTATTTAACACATCACTGTAGGTGAGGGATTTTGGTGTTTGCCCAACACACCACAGCCAGCCAGGCAGGACTCAGGACAACAACCTCAAAGACTAGAAACCGACTGAAACAGTGAAATCTGATTGGTGCAAAACACCATAATGACATCATCAGACAGGAGGTTTAGATCAAGCAAAACAAAAGCTATATTTTAAGAAACAAACATTGACAAAACTTTATTAAACTGATTGTTCGACCAATCAGCAGGTATCATCAGTCCAACATTTTTCTCTCTGCTGGGAGTTTCATGGCTCCAGATGTCATGTCACACGACAGCTCAGGTCACCGGATGGTGCGGTACATCATGAAGTCTACCGTGGTGCATCGTGGGAACTTTCCAATGGAACTCTCTTCCACGGGTGTGTAAACTTTGATCTGTCTCATATGAGTGTCTCTTCCGTTCTGATGGTTGGCCAACACCGCGATCTGGATCATGAAGGTGCTGATTGGCTCGTTGGTACGCTGACATGTACACAGAGAGAAATCAATTGTGTTTAAACATGACTACCTTTCGGGCAACCTTAAGTCATCTTTCATGTACATGTGAATTCATTGAGGTGTCTATGAAAAAACAGCAATGAAACAGTTTGTGTCCCTGAATGAACGATCAGGACATAAAACATACAGTATTTACTTCCTGATCACTGATGTCATTCAATACCTGATTAAGGAGAGAAATGTGGATCCAGCCGCTGGGCTCCACCATCTCCAGCTGCTGCAGAGCCACAACAACAATGAGTATTCACACCCAGATGAGTAATTAAAACTTGTTTTATTTGTTTGAGTTAAATCTTATGTTGTAGTTACCCTGACTTCCTGCAGGTTGTGGAAGTTGTTGCCCACTCGGACTGAGATTTTACTGGGTGTGTAGCTCTCATCAGATTTATAATCAGCATAAATGCACAACATTTTCACCGTTGTACGTCGCCTACATCCAAACAAAAAAACATTAATTTTAAATTCCAGTCCAAAACAGGTTATAATTTCCCCCCTGGTCTTATTACTTGCCTAAACTGTATGTTCACTAAGTGGGGCTGTGATCCATCAGACTGCCAGTAGGTCTCCAGGTTGTCATCCCTCAGCTGATCCACACCAAAGCCTGAACACAAGTGACGAGAAACAGGTAAGACACACAGATGTGCTCACACATAAAGGGAGACAAACCCAGCCACACTGACCGGGTTTACATGAGGACAGGGACCACACTGCCTGAGAACCAATCTCCCGTACAGTCCCAGTTCGTTCCAGTTGTTTGGGATCCGCACCGGGTGGTGTTTTGCTCGGGGTGGCCATCTTCTGATCAAAGACGTCACTGACACCAGAAACAACTGGTCCAGGGTTCACTGAACAGCTACACAAAGCAAACAACAAAAATGTGTTTTTTATGGATCAGCATATCAACTGTGACCCCTGCTTTTAGAAGTAAAGATGTATTTGATATATAGAATACTTTGAATTGGAGTAATGAAGAATCTGCTGGTGGACATTTCAACAAAACAGCTATTTTTATAATGGAATTATTTTATATACAACTGCCAATGTCTCGTTTTATTATAATCAAAAAATGCCAATTGTCGTCCAACGCCCTGGACATTACATTTTTAACCTAGTTTTAAAATATCAAAATCAAATAAGCTTAACATTACAGACGTTGTCACGTGTTTCGTCTTTCAGGTGTTTGATTAATTGCGTTGAAATAGTAAAAACAGTCTGATATTTGGCCAAACAAGGTAGTTCACTAACTTAGGTCTGTTACTGTGCAGCTGATGCTAACGCTAACGTGTGTCGTGATTATTCTAACGACTTAAAGTTTAATAGATAAAAACAGACTTACGGTGAAACTCCTCACAATGTATTTCTTACCATTTAAAACGTCCCTAACAGCTCGAGTTTTAAACTCGTTTTCTGAGACAACCACTTATTCCGCTCATGTCGTGTCGCTTTTCGTTGTCGTCACGGTGTGTAACGTCGCAGGATCTCTGCGTCTACGTCCCGCCATCTTTGCAACCGGCTTTCCAAGAGACGAACACGTTGCTCGAAAAAAGAAGTTTCTGTCCTGCTTATTTTTGAGTGGAAACGTCGTTGACCGGTTGTTCTCTTCCCCCGCGGAGGAGCGAAGCCGGAGAGCGGTGAGTTCTCGACCTGGTGCCTCAGTATTTTGTGGATCGTGCGCTACAGTTTTACAGAGCAGCTGTCAAAGTGCGGGGCCTCCGCAGCTAATGTCGGTTATCATGGAGGCTAACGGTTAGCTCAGCCTTACCACACAGAGAGGGGAACGGCACCCTGTGTTCGGATTTGACGGTTCATCTACAGTCTTCTAAACATTCTGGAACACTTGACAGAACGTCCTAAGATGCCGTGTCTAAAGGAGATGTTCCACAGATGGACCACATTGTTCCATTTAAAGCTGCGCTGATGTTAGCCACAGAAAAAACTGCGTTATATCTGATGGCTCCAAATTCTGTTTGTTTCTCCAAATCCAAGTGTTATGTGTCGGAGGTCACTGCACAATAACACACAGCTTTGCGTTTTTAGTGTACCACCCTGGTCAGTTAAGGTTTTGAGCTCCACCCGCGTGTTTATTTTTGGAACTACTTCATTGAGTGGTGGTGGTCTCTGCCATCACGGAGATGCGATGCAAATTAGTCTTAGTTGTAGTCACTATGATAAATGAACGGGTAATGACCGTCCACACGGGCTAACCCCAATTCTCTGATATGCCATTATTTTCAATGGAGTCCTTCATGACTCAGTGCTGGTGTCACACAGGCCTGGACACAGACCTCAAAGCTCCAGTCTGTGCTGCTGTTGGACGTGTGGGGGTCCATTGTCTCCTCAGCTATTGTGTTGTTTCAGCAGAGTGTGTTGGTTGTTTGCTCTAACACTGGTCTCTATACCCTGGTCTTTCAGCTCCTCAGGTGCTACTGCCCGTCGCCCTCCCCACCACCATGGCAGAGAAAAACACCAGGATCGCCATTGTCAACCAGGACAAATGCAAACCCAAGAAATGTCGCCAGGAGTGTAAGAAGAGCTGCCCAGTGACCCGCATGGGTGAGTGCCGAACACAACAACACGAGCTACTGAAACAGAAGAGATTAAAAAAAGTTGATATTCTTGAAAAAGCAACACCATAATCCACGGATCAATCTGTTCTTATGTGAGCTCTGTTCTGATCAGCCACACAGTCTCCTGTCAGATATAACACACCATCAACTGTCTTTGTGTTCACAGGTAAGCTGTGTATCGAGGTGACGCCACAGAGTAAGATCGTTTGGATCTCGGAGTCTCTGTGTATCGGCTGTGGAATCTGTATCAAGGTAAACGTTCAGCTGAGAACATTCACACTTGCATGTCCACCAGGGGTTTCCTTTGACGTGTGCGATGTTGTTGTTTCGTGATTGTAGAAATGTCCTTTTGGAGCATTGTCAATCGTCAACCTGCCCAGCAACCTGGAGAAGGAAACCACCCACAGATACTGTGCCAACTCCTTCAAACTGCACCGGTACGTTCTGACACATTGCAGGGTTAACTACGGATCACACATGAGCGAGTATTGAATGTCTTTGTGTTTTCAGGCTGCCTATCCCCAGACCTGGTGAGGTCCTGGGACTTGTAGGGACCAACGGTATTGGAAAATCCACAGCGCTGAAGATCCTGGCAGGAAAACAGAAACCTAACCTGGGGAAATATGATGTGAGTGTTCACTCAGACAAACACACTGCAGTGACTCGGTGGTTCTGTCCAGAAAGTCCCTCCTATAGCTCATCTATGCCAAAGTAGCCCTTACGCATCTTATCTTTGCTACCCAGAATCCTCCAGACTGGCAGGAGATCCTGACGTACTTCCGAGGGTCAGAGCTTCAGAACTACTTCACCAAAATTCTGGAGGACGACTTGCGGGCCATCGTCAAACCACAGTACGTGGACCAGATCCCAAAGACCGTCAAGGTAAACACGCAAATATTCATTTGTTTTTTTACTTTAGCCGTGGGTGTTTGTTGTCCAAGACCAACATTGAAGTTCTCCCGTTCATCCTGCAGGGGTCAGTGGGGGCCATCCTGAGCAGGAAAGACGACACAGACACGCAGAAGTTGGTCTGTGAACAGCTGGGTAACATCATCACACACAATATGTTTTATCTTCTTCTTCCGTGTCGACGATAAGTTTCTAACTGGGTGTTGGTTCTGCTCAGATCTGAGTCATCTGCGGGAGAGGAACGTGGAGGATTTGTCTGGTGGTGAGCTGCAGAGATTCGCCTGCGCCGTGGTCTGCATCCAGAGGGCTGACATGTAAGGAGTCATCTAGAAACAGGTTTTTTAATAACAACAATAGCAACAACAATAGCAATAGTGAGGATGTTTGTCCCCAAACTCAAATAATACGATAAACATATTGATATGGAATCTGAAGAGGTGGTTGTCACCTTCCCAGGACAAAAGGCTTGGTTTATTTTTCTCTTATCATTGAAACTGATAACAAGGGAAGATGAAGGGGGAAAAAACTTGATGAAAAAGCTTAGTTGAAGAATGTTTCGTTGTTTTTAGTGAACATGTTTGCTGGCCATTTAAGGAGAAGGGTTTAAAGTCAGTCATGTTGAATATACTGCAGTGAACACAGACAGGCTTTAGAGTTTACTGTGTGTGCGTGTGTATTTGTGTGCAGCTTCATGTTTGATGAACCGTCCAGTTACCTGGACGTGAAGCAGAGACTGAATGCTGCCATCACCATCCGCTCCCTCATCACCCCAGACAGGTGAGCTGCTCCTCCACACCTGCTGCAGATTTTAAAAAAAAAACACAAAGGTGTACTTTTCACTACAATAGCAAGTACTTTTCAGGTACATCATTGTGGTGGAGCACGACCTGAGTGTGTTGGATTACCTCTCCGACTTCATCTGCTGTCTGTACGGTGTGCCAAGTGCCTACGGTGTGGTCACTATGCCGTTCAGCGTCCGAGAAGGTGAGTCCGTTTGGCCCTGATGTCAACCTCAGGTGCTGTGTTTGGCCCTGATGTCAACCTCAGGTGCAGACTGCTGAGGAGGAGGAGGTGGAGCTCGAACCAGTTCATGTATCAGAGATTCATTCCAGGTATCAACATCTTCCTGGATGGTTATGTCCCCACCGAGAACCTCAGGTTCCGTGAGACGTCGCTGGTGTTCAAAGTGGCAGAGACGGCAAATGAGGAGGAGGTGAAGAGACTGAGACACTACCAGGTGAGTGACCTCCTCCACCTCCTCCTGTCTCCCGTGCTCCCTGTTCCTCACTCAGTGTGCTCTTTTCCTCCAGTACCCTGACATGTGCAAGATGATGGGCGAGTTCACACTGGAGATCAGGGGTGGAGAATTCACAGACTCTGAGATCATGGTGATGCTGGGAGAGAACGGTATGTGTTCTGTTTGACATCAACACTTCCAACTGTGTGCTAAACATTCATGTCAATAAAACGTCCTGTGTTTGTGTCCAAAGGAACGGGAAAGACCACCTTCATCAGGATGTTGGCTGGAGGACTCATGCCTGATGGAGGAGGTGAGCAGTGCAGCAGACTCCAGGATATAACAACGCCTCTGTCAGGCTAATGCTAAGCTAACTACTTTAAAAACCAAGTATAGCAGTGAGAATTCCCTTCTGGAAGTCAGGGTGTTGATTGGGAACGTCTTGACATACTTTTTTAGCTTCTGCTCATTTCCTCTACAGTCACAGCCAAACAACAGAACATCACTGTTTTCTCTTTCTGACTCTGATTAAATGTGAAAAAAGGTGGCGCTGCATGCAGAATAATGACTAGTGAAAACATGTTTGGGACCTGGTTATACTCACCCTTTGACCTCCTGTGTTACAGGTGAGGTTCCCGTCCTGAACGTCAGCTACAAACCTCAGACCATCAGCCCCAAGTTTAAGGTGTGGCCTGTGTTTCCAACCTGAGCTTTATTCAATCGGAAACTTTGATTGAAAGAATTAAAAGATCAATTCCTGTCTGTGGATCTGTTTGTGTTCAGGGCAGCGTCAGATCTCTGCTGCACAAGAAGATCAGAGACGCCTACACCCACCCACAGTTCATCACCGACGTCATGAAGCCAATGCAGATCGAGAGCATCATCGACCAAGATGTAAGAGCAGCACCGGAGTGAGTGAACGACTTCAAGCTTCCGTTCGCGGACACTGACGACAGTTGTCTGACTCTGCCCCACAGGTGCAAAACTTGTCTGGAGGTGAGTTGCAGCGAGTGGCTCTCACCCTGTGCCTGGGTAAACCAGCCGACGTTTACCTGATTGACGAGCCCTCGGCGTACCTGGACTCCGAGCAGAGATTGATGGCGGCTAGGGTCATCAAAAGGTCAGCTGAAGCCTCCCTCACTCGGTATAGTCAGTGTTAAATGGTCTTTAAAAGCCTGACGAGTTGTGGTTTTCTTCAGATACATCCTTCACGCGAAGAAGACGGCATTTGTGGTGGAGCATGACTTCATCATGGCCACATATCTGGCTGACAGGGTCATCGTGTTTGATGGAATTCCCTCTAAAAAGACTGCCGCCAACACGTAAGTGATGCCCGATCAACAAGTACTAATGCTGTTAAAAAGGTGTGGTGACGAGTGACGTGATTGGTTTACTTGTCCGCAGGCCGCAGAGTCTGCTAGCAGGAAT